ACCCGCAAGACAGCCTAATATTAATCAACCAAAGAAGAGCACGAGAAAATACTGCAATAGAAGCCTTGAAACGAATTAGAATGAATATAAATTTATTATATCTATTTGAATCAGCCTAATTAAATCTAGCAGCAATTAGAAGAACAAACTTAAATACTGAAATATTAGCATTACTGCAAACCTTAGACTACGTAACAGATAGAACCTACCCATTTTGCTTTGTAGAAAATATTACATTGCAAATTCAAGAAATAAATGAAATATTAGATAGAATAGTATCGTGAAATCATAATAACTACGAGACTTAGTAAAACTTCGAAACATGGGGCAGAATTGTGAATTGTGAATTATGCAAAAATTTCTGAAATTAAACTTATTAGAAATTATTAAATTTACAACAACAATTTATTTTTATAAAAAGAAACCACAAAGAAAACATACTTTTGCACCTCAGGATAATTATCCAAAACGAATAGAATGACCTTTAGAAAACCCCAGATTTAATTATATCTGGAACCTTCAACCAGTACTTAGAAATACCCTTCTAAAAGAAATTGACTCTGACCAAGAAATATTATTTCAAAGATCTACTAACGAAATATTATTTGATATAGACGTAACCTTATCAAATTTAATATCTCATTGTAATCCTACAAGTAACCCAACAATAGGAAATTTATTATGATTATTACAATTTACTAAAGCTCTTGTTAGATTCAATTCGCAAATACCTGCAAACCCACAAGAACGAAAAAGATACACAGAAACTTTAACAGCAACTGTTCAACAATTCGAACAAATACGGGACGTAAATTTAAAACACAATGTACCAGATTTATTAAAAATATATTATATTATCTTATATTTATAGCAGAAGATTTACTAATAGAAGAAGGAGCCGAAACAATTAAGGATGAAGAAAAAGAATTAAAATACTTCGAAAAAATATTTTAATGGAAAATTTGGGATTTACAAAAACTGAAAAGAAACATATTAAAACAAAAGAACAATATAAGCTCAAACTTTTATTCAACTCCCTGAAACATATATATCAGAAGAATAAATTTAAATATGAAGAAAGTAAAAAAGTACAAGAATTGCGGAGAAGAGTCAAGTGGCCGTCAAGAGAAAGAAACTTCCAATTACCAGATTTTGAAATAATAAAAATAAAAGAAAACCCATCAAAACACGGATTATCAACCGAAATAATTAAAACATACCAAGAAAAAGTGTATCTACAACTACACAGGAAAGGAAAGTCGTATACTAACCTACATTTCTTATTTATAATTGAATCATTGGAACTTGAGAAGAAACTTCAAAAAGAAAGATTCAAGAAAAACAAGGTATCAGTAACTCAGAATATAGCATCAGAAGTTTATAAAAATGAAATACAAACTTTTATAGAAAAGAATAAAGAAACTGCAATTCAAGAAATTGAATTGAAACTAGAAGCTCTGGAAGAAATCTTTAAGATCAAATTAGAAGAAATCAAAGAAACTAATAGAACTAATTGAACAGCAAAATAATTACCATATTATATTAAGATATCTAATAGAAAAATTTATTTACCTCAAGAAACAGAAACTACAGAAAATATATCTTGATTGGCGAGACAAGAAAACTCATTACGAAACCCTTTTGACATTTGAAGGATTGAAATCAGGATTTCAACACCTTCTATTGATATTGGAGAAATACGAATTATCTGAAATAAAGCATAAATTTAAAACTGAATTCGATCAAGAATTGGAAATTTCAAAATCCTACAAAAGTCTGTGATATAAGAAGTGGTTGGCATATAACCAATAAATATATTCTGAAATCCAAGAAATTGAAAGAATACGAAATTTACAAGAAACTATATATACGAAAACGAAGCAATATGCCAGAAAATACAAGTTCAAACAAGATACCTGAACATATTAAGAAAAATAGTAGAGACCTCAGCAATAGGAAGCAAACTAAATTATGAAGGATATGAAACCAGATTACCTACTGTTGACCTTCTACTACAGGACAATACCAACCATTTTGATGACGGGATCAGAAAAACTTGTTGAACTTTTGGAACAATGAATTAATATCTACCGAGACTTAACTGATATTAACAATTATCTCAAAACTGAAACTGAAACCAAACAACGAATCAGATTAGAAATCTATAAGGAATTATTTGAAGAATTAGGAAAAGATATAGAAAAACAAATAATTGCGAGAATAACTAAATCATGAATTTATTAAGACACAACTGGACACAGAGATGCCCAGGATGCAACATCCTATATCCATACTACCTCTTTAAAGAATTCAATGGAAACAAAACAGTATTCTTTGACCATTGCAATAATTGTAGAAACCAATTTTATGCAATAACATAAAGAATTTCAAATATTGATCTCCCTACAAGAAGACTGGTACAGGGAATATTGTTTAAGAAAATAAATGGTAAACCATACATATCTCTATCTGAAAGAATTGATCCAGAGAAACCTTACTGGCAACACTTCCAAGGGCCAGGAGGAAAAGGAAACCTTAATGTCAATGGAAACCCATATGAAACAGCTAAAGAAGCATTTTTCAGAGAATGCTTCGAAGAAACCAACTGGGAATTACAAAAAGAAAAATTAATAAACATTTGGGAAGAAACTGCTCTAAGTATATTGGAATGGACGTCGCAAAAGAACTGTCCAATACTTGAAGCAAAATTCAAAATCGAACGAACCATTTTTATATATCCAGTAGATGACTGGATGGAACCTCAACGGGTGGAACCTACCAAAGCCTCAGAATGGCAATGGTATACAATCGAAGAAATGATGACATTACAACTAATCCCTATGTTTGCACAAAATCTAGAATTAATATTCGGAGAAATTAATGCTTATTATGAAGAAGAAGCATTATATGAAAGAAACCCCGGAAAGCAACCATATGATGAAATTGAATCACTTGATGACGAAGAAGATTATAAGAAATCTCTTGATAAGATGACGAACCAAGATTTCGAATCAGTCAATAAGATACCTGAATATGTCACCAGACATGAGATTCTACGGATGGAAAACTACGTAGATAAACTCCAAAAGAAACTTCAAGAAACTAAGGATCGAATCCGCAGAGCTAACAAAATTATAAATGACCATTACAAGACAAAATATCTTGTAATTTTCGAACCAAAGGATAGAACCCACGTGGTCGCATCAATAAAGAAACCAACATTAGCCGAACTGAAGATTCGACCTTACATTTGGAACAAACTCATAAACCGCAACTTTACATATAGAACCGCCAGAATGATAAAAAATAATCAAGAACAATTTCTTATCAAAATAAGAAATCCGAAACAAAATGACTCATCAGGATCAACAGTGACAATCGAATTTTTATATTCACAATACGCTAATCATACATTGATCTAGGAACGACATTTTAAGAAATAAAGCCGAAAGACTTTGGAAACTCAATCTGACCATAAAAGGAGAACCCCGGTGAAATCTATCCGGACAAGTAGATCGATGCTTGAGCCCACAAGCGGCTCATAACATGCGCATGATATCGCATGATATAATTTTTTTGATTTTATATTTTCCCTCCGGAAATATCGGATATTTGTCAAAATTTTTTCCACGACCCTTCTCATCTTTATTTTCATTCATTTTCTTTTCGGAATTTTTCAAAACTTACGCATTCCTATTTCTTAATTTTGCCCGGCATTATACACCTTGGCCTAAATAAATATACTTTAATTTTCCTATATAAAATTTAGATGGGATAAAACCCATCTCTACTCAGAGCACTAAAAAAAAAAATAAATCAATATTTAGGACTTTAGTTGCCCTCAGTAAATAAAATGCCGTTCATTGGTTATGACTATATTTGCGAAGCAATACTTCGCAGTTACTATCCAAAGAATTTTTTCAATTATGTTTTTTATAAACTATAAATGCCAACTAATAAGCGAATCAAAAATATAGCTTTTAACGTAACTTGTATCACTTTGATTTAGCATTAAATTTCCACCTGACAAATTAAGCATCTATTTATTTAAATCATGAATTTTTTTTTCTTCTTTAGGAAACAAGACCCTAAAAACTTCAAACACTCGATTACGATCAATATTACATTGTACGAGTGCAGAAATATAACTAAGGTTAATAATCATATTTTGCTTTTTCTATTTGCTTTAAAATAGATATAAAAAAAGAAAATAATTATACTATTTTTTCAATGATCATCTTTTCCTTGTTCTGTATTTTTAAATTTGTTAAATCTACATTTTCCAATAGGAAATTGTAAGTTCTTGACATTTGGATTTATGTCATTACTGATAAAGGTGTAAGAAAAGTAAAGAGTGAATATCATTTTTTCTCGTAATTAATTATCATCTATCAATTTATATTATTTTTTACGTAAGCTTACAAAATTTAACCTTTCTTGAATCTTGATTTCACTCAAGTTTTTTGTCATGTCGTAGAATCTTAGTCAGTAAGAAATATCAAGCTTCTGAATTATTTAGTATAAATTTAATAAAACAAACATTTTTTAAACAATACTTTATTCTTTAGATATTTCTTCAATTCAGCCAATTCTTCGTAATGAAATCACCAAAGAAGTTTTTGATGTGAATGTTATACTGTTTAAAAAAGTCCTATGATTGATACGATAATATTCCCAGGTATCAATGCTAAACATATTATTTAATAAATTCAAATTATTAAAAAAAAATGATTCAACATCTAAGACCTCTAGTAGACTTCTGCGATGACTACATTTACGAAGTACCCCTGCAATTACTATCCATTGCTTGTAGCAGGATTATAATTTAACTTTTCGTAATATCCTCTATCTTCCAAAAAATTTCAATAGTTTTATTATTAAATGATATGGATTTTTTACTTGGCAATTTCCAAAATTCTGGGCGAATAGATTGGAGCTGGCCGACATTAAGCACTACTAGCCAACCAATTTTATAGTAAATTATCTGATCACTCTACTTAATGGTTTTGTTACGCTAAATACAAATATGCATGCGGCCAGATATGAAAATATGTAACTACATATAATTTTTCGTGTAACCTTAATTAAACATTAAATGTCCGCCGTAACGCTCCAGACGAATTAAAGCAACTATTTTGTTTAAACATGAAACTTTTTTCCTTCTTTAAGAAACAAGACCCTAAACAGCTTTATGAACTTGGTTACAATTATGAACGTGGTATTGGTGTTAAGAAAGACGAAAAGAAGGCTTTTGAATATTTTATGAAAGCAGCTGAGTTAGGAGATTCGGATGCGATGCGAGCTGTTGGTTTATGTTATTATTATGAAATTTGAGTAGAAAGAAATTCCCAAAAATCATTTGAATATATTAAGCGATCGGCTGACTTAAATAGTGCCAATGCAATGTGTAGTGTTGGCAAATGTTATGAAAATGGAAGGGGAGTGATAAAGATTACAATAAAGCATTTGAATATTATGAAAAAGCTACTGATATGGGTGTTCATGTAGCAATGAGTAATGTTGCTCGATGTTATCGTAACGGTATCGGTACAAAAAGAGATATTCAGAAGGCAAATTATTGGTTCACAAAATATAGAAGTTTTCTGAAAACTAATAAATCACCAGATCATATCAATCCTAAACTTAAGAGAATATTAGACGATGAGAGATTTAAATTATCTTGGATTGATTATAATGAGTTCAAAAAAAGGTAAAGGAGGATTCGCAACTGTATATTATGCATGTTGGCACGATAGAATTAATGGTGTGTTGCAGTATGTTGCACTTAAAGTAATTCGTGATTCAAACGAATATGTGCAAGAATTTATCCAGGAATTGAAGAATTTCTGTGAAATTGGCTATGAAAATCCTTCGTTCTTGAATTGTTATGGCGTATCAAGAAATGATCGTGGTGATTATATTATTGTTTTGCAGATTGCAACTGGTTCGTTACGACAAAATCTTGCAAAAGTATCACAATTAGAATGGAAATATAAATTAAATATTTTGTACTGCATAGCTGTGGATCTCGAGTCAATTCATTCTCAGGGACTCGTTCACAGAGATTTACACAGCGGAAACATTTTGCAAGCAGATTTGGACAACGCATATATCTCTGATCTTGGGCTTTCTAAAAAAGAAAAGGAAGGAAATATTTGTGGAATTATGCCATATATAGCACCTGAGGTTTTAATGGGTCAACCGTATACTCAAGCATCAGATATTTACAGTTTTGGGGTTATAGCGACAGAGATTTCAACCGGGCAAAGAGCATTTGATGGAATTCCGTTTAATGGTGATTTGATATCAAAAATTATCGGTGGATCAAGACCTGAATGTTTAGGTCCAGATTGTTATATTGAATTGGCTATTAGATGCATGGATAAGGATTTTGATAAACGACTTACCGCAACAGAAATTATTGAAACAATAACTCGTTGGTTAGATGATATGGATCAGAAAGATGATAATGAAATCAAAAAACAATTTTTGGTAGCTGATAAGATTAAACCGAAACCTAATAAACAAATACATTCTCATGACATATTTACTAGTAAGCAATATGATACGAATAAATTTTCAGAATATATCAGTAAGCCCCTTAATACATAGAAATAGAGTGCAAATTTCAAAATTCTATTTAAATTAGATTATATAAAAAAATGTGAAGCTTATATGTGCTTATGTAGCATGCATTTAAGAAACATTTCTTAGTTAACAAGCTTTCTACAATATATAATTACGATTATATTACAGAAATAAATGTTTTCGTCTTAATTTATAAACTTTAACATAGTATTAGTGTGGTTAATTACTTGAATGGTAAAAACTTTAAATCAATTTTTTGTTTTTTTTTTTGCATTGAAGCTTTGTCGAGTATTATTTAAATCTATATATTTATTCATAAGCTAGAAAACCATATTGAAAATAAATCTAGTATAGGATTTTCTAAGTTACTAATTGTAGCAAAAAAACATTTTTGTCTGCTATTTTTATAAAAATTAAATATATTATTTGGTTTTTTTTTTGTCTTGCAAAAGAATATTTTTAAGTTGTTGAACAATCAAATTACTATAAAAAGATGAATTTTGATAGTGAATTAAAAATACACTAAATATCTTAAAGTGAATTTTTATGATAATGGACTTTTACCTTTAGATTAAATATTGTAAAACTACAATATTTACTTATTTAATTTAACCAAAAATAATTAAAAATGACTTTTTTGAGAATTGATATTAAAACCATCCTTAACTATTATTACCAACACAACTGATCTGAATAAAAAATTTTTAAAAGCTTAGCATAAGCAAAACAAAATACTATTTATTGGTACGTAATAATATTGAAATTCATAAATATTTCATGTTATAGTATAGCTAGATAATAAATTCACTGAATGAAGGGTTTCAGAATAACAGGAGAAACCGTCCAAATATAGATATGATTTTCACTCTCCGTTACACAGATCACTCATTGTATCGACCAGTCAAAATATCACTACGGGATTTGTCAACCAATCAAATTGCGAAATTTACAAAAAGACGAAACCATGGGATTCAAGGGGATTCAAAAAATATGTTGTAAAGCAAAGTGAGAGCTTCATGTTTGTTTAACCATTTTCAATATTCATAGAAAAGATAAGTCAAGTGAGCCTTCCAAAAAAGTATTGTAAAATAATATAAAAAAAATTTTTTATCAATTGTGTAACGATTTTGTGACGTATCAACGGTTCCTCCTGTTTTTCAGAATTTAAAAAAATAGCATATTTTGGAAATAAATGAGAGTTTAAAATTTTTTTTTGTTTGCAAAATTCTGAAAGCTGAAAATTACTGGGAGTGTTTAAAGACGTATTTGGCGAAATAAGTAAAATTTCTTCAGATTAAGTCTTTCAATATTTAAGACTTTAGTAGACTTCTGTAAATAAATTTGATAACTACATTTACGAAGCACCCCTGCAATTACTATCAATTGTTTGTGACAGAATTATAATTTAACTATTCGTGATATCCTCTGTCTTTCCAATAAATTTCAATAAGTTTATTATTCAATGATACAAATTTTTACGGGGCAATCTCCAAAACCATGGGCGAATATATGGCCGACATACCAGGAACGGAGTGATATTGAAAATTTCACGAAGTGTATGGTTATAATGCAAATTAAATGGCGTACGTACGCGAAATCTTGCCGCTTATTGGACAAATGCATATGGCGGAGTAAAGGTGTGAATGCATATTGAGCCTTCACATGTGGTACATTCACATTATTCATGTGACGCTTTATTCTATATTTAGCACGACTTGATCTTCGTACTACTTTTCTATTGTAGTATGGTAGCTTCTCATCGATTTATTTAAAGCCGATATCAAAATATTGCTATACACATGATTGCGATTACAAGTGCCGTAACAAATTATAGTCGAAATTGATTTTTATACATAAATATCAGTGACCCGATGTAAATTTACGTATCTATTTGCTGAATCTTTGGCATTTTCGTTTTTTTTTTTTAGGATTTTTTATTGGGTTGATTAAATGATAATCAATGATCGTCAAATATGATAGCGAAAGAATTTGTTAAGCGTTTCAAATACATATAATCATTGGATTCTATTTGTTTGAATTAAAGGGCGATCCGATTTTCTGAAAAAATTAACCCTGATTAAAATTGGTCGTCATTATAGCTAATGACGGCAAGTTTTACCAACGCCTTTTCAGCTTTCGGAAGCTTGTAGCAGATATCTATTGCAATAATCTGATTAGCCGCGGAACTGCATTTATTAATCCTAATCGATGATTAGATTATCTGGCACTATAGTTGTTAGACGTAGTGATGTAACCCAAACTATTTCGGCACCAAATTATGGTTACGGCAACTTTTGATCGGGATTTGGGCTTTTGCCAAATCCCAAATTCAATCCCAAGTCCCAAATATATTTCCAAATTCCAAACTCATTCCCAAATCCCGATGATGTGATTTTTACTATGATCAACGTAATAAAAAAGTTTATCGCTATGACAAACTACTGTAATTGATTAGTAATGTAAAACCGATAAATTAAATGATATGTTATTTAAATGATTTGAAAAAAAACTTTTTTTAATATTATTTCGAAATGAATTTTGAATCTTCAACAAGCAGTACTACTAACAGTCAGCAGATATATCAATTGATACGAATTCTGATTCTTCGGCAAGTAATATGCCTGACATTCAGCAAATACCAAGCCAAAAAAAAATAGAAAATCAAAAAAAAGGAGGGAATCGAAAAAAACAAGGAAATCGAAAAAAGGGAGGGTGTCCAAAAGATATAGTGTGGGAGTATTTTGCAAAAGGTGTAGCTGCAGACAAATATGGCCATTATGTGCAACTTGCCAATATTGTGGAGAAAACTGGTCAAGAGGAAAACCGAAAATCATCTTGCATTACATTGTGAGAAAGTTCCAAATAATGTTAGTACTATATTTCTTCGTAGAATAGTTGAAAGAGCTGAAAAATCACTAGACAATAGTGATGATGATGATGATATTACTTTGAGTCAAAAAAAAAGAACAAAAAATCATAAAAAATCCAAATACTTATCTAAACCTGTAGAACCAGTTTCTGAGGAACAAAGAAAGCTTATTAATTATATTCTTTTAAAAGCTTTCACTTGTTGTGGTATTCCATGGGCTGTAATTGATAATCCTTTTTTTGTGGATTTGCTTAAAATATTAGAACCTGGTTATAGTCCTCCAAGTCGAAATACTTTATCAGGCCATCTATTAGATGAAGAGCTTGCAACTATTTCAGTGAATATAGATAAATCTCTTACAAATCAGCATTGTTTAACATTATCTCTAGATGGTTGGACCAATCCACCGAATTATTCTTTATATAATTATATTATTTCAATTTCAGATCACAAAGAGTATCTAATTGCTATTCAAAATTATTCTTTGGATTCTCAAACAGGTACTTTTATTGCAAATAAAATTAGTACAATTATAGAAAAAATTGGATCATCAAAATTTGCCACTATAGTAACTGATAATGGATCAAATGTTAGAGTAGCACATCGAATAATTAATGAAACATATCCACATATTATAAATATTCAATGTATAGCACATTGGTTCAATTTAATTTCAAGTGATCTTGTTAATATTCTATCGATTAAAGCTACTTTAGCAAATGCAAGTGTAATAATAAGCTTTTTTAAAAAATCACATCTTGCAAGTCATTTACTTCATGATGGAATAAATGCTATGAATATTCAAGGTGGTGGTTTGAAATTATTTACTAAAATTAGATGGGCTTCAGCATTTGGTACTGCAGATTCATTAATTCAATGCAAACCTGTTTTTGATAAAATTCTTGATGAAAATCGTAATGCAATTACAAATAATACAGTTTACAAGTTATTAAAAGATGAAGATGAAACTTTTTTTAGCATTTGTCGTAGAATAATTGCAATATTTCATCCAATTAAGGAAATAATAACTATATTGGAATCATGATCGGCTAATTTAGCTGATTGTTTTATTAATTTAGTATGATTAGGTGCTACAATTAATAAGTTACCAAATAATAATCCATTTAAGCTAAATGCAATTAATATTTTTAACAAACGATATACAAGTCTTGATATAAATATTTATTTGCTTGCCTATTATCTTCATCTTCAATACCGTGGAAATAGCTTAAAAGGTTTTAAATTTTTTGATCTTTGCAAATATGCATTAGAATTATATTCAAAACAATTAAATAACAAAACAAAGCAACCTCATGATGAACAAGATTGTAATGAATTAATGAATCAGCTTTGTAGATATAAAGCTCAAGATGAGCCTTTTAATTTTCCTTATAATGATATTCATCAAACACCAATGCTATGGTGGTCTATTATTGATGACAATTATTCTCATTTGCAAAAATTTTCAAAGATGATATTTTCAATAACACCTTCACAAGCTTCTTGTGAACGTACTTTTTCAGTTTTAAATGGTTCTATAGTGATAGAAGAATACGACTTCAAACTACAAAGTTAGAAGCTATGGTGAAGATACATTCATAGTATCTCTCAAATATTACTAAAGAACTACATTTTCATGATAATAAACATTCAATTCAAGATCTATATAATGGTGTTCTAGAACAAACTGCATTTGCTAATTGGGAAGATCCTCTTGAGCCAATCTATAAAGATATTAATATTGAATCTCAACAACAAATTATTGAAAAATTAGAAATCGCTGATTTAATTGATTTAAATAATTCTATAATAGTTAAAGACAGTAGAATCGAAGATATTGAAAGCCATAATAATTATATTGAAGGCCATGGAAATTTAAATTTTAATATAGATGATATTATAAATAAAGTTTTAGAAGATACGGGACAACAATATTCAAGCTTTTAAAATAATAATTTCTAATACTTTTGCACATTTTAAATTATATATCTCTCTCTTTGCTTGTATTTCAATTTATATAGAGATTATTATATTTGCATAGTTTCTATCTTCATAGAGTTGATATTTTATTTGAAAACATTTATTAAACTAAATTACATTTTTAAATAAATCAAATAACGCATATACAGTATATAAAGAATGTAAAGCTAATGTTTTTATAATACTTATTTATTAAATAAATTAATTATTGTTGTTATTATTTGTGAATTTTAGTTTAGCAGTCTTGAATTCAGAACATGACTAAGCTACTAAATTTTAAATTATATCATCAATTTGGGACTTGTTTCGGCAAAGTCCCAAATTAAGTTTCGGTAGTTTGGGATTCGGCATGTGACGAAACTATCAGGTTTGGGTGACATCCCTAGTTAGACGAAACCTTTTTTGCTTGGTGACGAAAGACGAAACCTAGCCCCAAAATGACATAACCCCTGATGAAAGACGAAACCCAAATTCCAAATGACGAAACCCTAGTGCTCCCGCTAAAAAAAAAAACCCCCTTGCGCTTTCACTAAAAAAAAAAAAACCGGAATGATGAATCTTTATGATAATAGTGAATCCCTAATTCTCTCGCTAAAAAATTACTACTGAAATTTTTGTTTTGATGAAGCTATCAATAAAATAATAGATATTTAACCCGCCGATAAATTATTAATGAGGCTTTTTATATATATTTAATACTGAAGATGTTTATTGACTTGTGCGTATATTTAGGTTTTAAAAAGCCAATTACAGAAATTATAAATAGCAAATGGGATCTTTGCTAGGAAAATCACCCTTCGGGATTTTCCGATCGGGCTAATTCGGAAAATTTTAGACCAGTGTGAGACTGGAAACGTGACCTAACCGCAGGTACGTGGATGCGTGACCCGGGAATTCCAAATTTGGGTTTGCCACCAGAATTCCGGGGATTTTCGGAATTTCCGAAATTACAAGAATTAGGAAATTTTGGTGAATTTTTGGAATTAGGCGAAAAACAGGAATAAATAATTACAGTAATAAGGGTAATTCTGGGAAAACGGCGCACTCTGTATGTAAAAATAGATAGTGAGTTAGTTATAGATAAAGGCCTTCTGGCCCTTCGAAAAGGGGAGTTAGCTCCAATTCACATAATAATAAAGTACCTAAGTCATATAAAAAAATGCCCTACCAACTACATACATTCTTTTATTAACCACTCGCCCAAATCTAACACGCCTTTTTCGACCCTAAAGTAACCTAGGTTTTGGTTACACGGATCTCCTTTTGATTTAGCGACAGGCTCGCCGTTTCCGGGTCTGACACCAGAATGTCAGTTCTTATTCATTTGTAAACCATCTTTTTACTTTACTGACTCGACAGTTTATTTAATAAACTACCGAATAAATATAGCAAAAGGTGATTTACATATGAATAAGAACTGGCATTCTGGTCTAAACCTTTTCGGATTAGCCCGATCGGAAATCCCGAAGGGTGATTTTCCTAACAAATATCCCAAATAAGCCACTAGCATTTATCTTTAATGCCGAAGATGTTTATTGACTTGATATTTAGGTTTTGAAAAGCCAATTGCAGAAATTTTATAATTGAAAATCTGAAAACAATGTATGTATGTATCTCTTATTAATTTTTACGTATTATCTGTACTAATTTATTAATAAAAAGTCTTTTATTGATTTAGCAGGATATCGATA